GCGCCAGCGAGATGGGATTGGTCGCGGAGCCGACCACGGTGGTGACGGTGGCGTTGATGGACTCCTTGATTGAGGTCTCCATCGCATCGATCTTTGCCTGGAGGGACTGCACGTAGGCCATAGTGGCGTAGGCGTCCAGGTCTGTTTCCTCACCCTGTGGAGGCGAGCGTGAGCGATCAGCCCTGCCACCAGCAGCACCGCCAGGCTCGTCAAGAGGAGGGGGACGCGTCGAGATCCCTTTGCCGCGCAGTGGCGTCTCTGCTGGCGAGCCTCCTTTCTCTGACATGGCTGGGAGGAGTCCTTCGACGCTCGCGCCCACAGGAACGGGAAAGGCCTCCGTTTACCCGTGGTGGCAAACGTCGGTGTGGTGGAAGTCTGCCAGGCCACAGGTGGCCTTGTCTGCCGCGGACTAGCGGTATCCACTTGTCCTCCTGTGGGACACATCATCTTGAGCCAAAATGGCTACGGATGATGATGATGATGAGGAGGAGGAGGAGGGAACAAGAGGGAGGAGGAGGAGGAGGAGGAGGAGCAGGAGGAGAAGGAGGAGAAGGAGGAGAAGGAGGAGAGGAGCGAGGAGGAGGAATCGGAGGAGAAGGATGATGAGGAGGAGGCGGAAGAGGAGGATTATGATGAGGAGTAAAGAAGAGGGAGAGGGAGGGAAGAAAAGGGAGGAAGAGGAGGAGGAGGAGTAGTTGTAGGAGGAGGGAAGAGGACGGAGGAGGAGGGAGGAGGAGGAGGAGGAGGAGGAGGCGGCACTCGTGCCCTCAGAAAGGGCCGTCTCCGTGGCGTCTGTGCGCGCTGTGAGCGGGCAGCGCGCCCCGCTCCGCATGGTTTAGACGTCACCTTAGGGAGTGCAGAAGCTCGAGCAGATGCCTCGCTGGTCCAAGCGCAGTGTGGTCTGTCTGTTCGCTGGGCTCCGTTCGCCCTTTGGCGTACAAGTCCCGACGGCAATTGTATACCACATGCAAGAGCAGCAACATTCGATGGAGTGGTGCGTCCGGCAGCCTCGCGGGCAAGTGGCCCATGCGCAGGAAAGCCGACAGCAGCGGGTCCGCTCCTATCGGTGAGACTGCTTTCCACAGCGGGCCGTACTGCATGTAGTGAGGATGGGTGCCAGTACGGCACGGACACCCAAAAGGCACGGGCACGTTGTGATCGGGAGGCGGTGGGACGTCGTCCAGCCTCCGATCGGGATCTTCACGGCTGCACTCTGCACTGCGCAGCTGCATGCTGCGAGGCGCTCTCGAAGACAGCCCAACGCTCCATCCAAGTCGAGTGGGTCGAGCTCCGATCTCCGGATGATCTCGGCCAGCAGGTCATCCAGATCTGTAAAGATGAATGGGCCGAGCTACCTCGAGCGGAGGCGCTGAGCGCGAGCGCGAAGGGGAGGCTCCGCCCCCTCCGGTGCCTCGACATATGCCCCACGTTTTGCCCTCACGAGTGCCAGCAAGGCCTGCGAGGTCATGCCGAAAAACTTGCTCTGCCCAGAGAATCCCGTCACCGCCTCTTCGAGATGGTATACGGTGGTCCTTGTCCTCCGGAAACTGGGCGAGGCGCCTCCTACGCTGGAAGGGAAAGCCGCGAGGCCGCCGTGCTCCATCGCCATGCTCCTGCGGTAGGCTATCCAGCCGCGCCACTCCGTGACCGTGTCCATCGCCATGCGCATGGCCTATGCAACTCCCAGCACCTCGAGCGATGGGATCTTCATCTGTGCCCACTCCGCGAGCTCGAAGTACGTGGCCATCGCTCCGCAGTCTGTAGGTAAGCGCATGATCGTGTAGACCGCCCAGTGGGGCTCATGAACTGCGCCACGTACCCGAGCACTGGCAGTGCGCACGTGCGGTACATCGCCACTGACGTCGAGGTTGGGGCGCCGACACCTGCCAGCTCCACCCTGCGTTTGAACTTCGCTAGTGGGAGCGTCCATGAGAGGAGGAGGAGGAGGTGGTGGAGGAGGAGGAGGAGGAGGAGGAGGTGGTGGAGGAGGAGAAGAAGGAGGATGGAAGAAGAGAAGGGGAAGCTTCAGCGCTTCACAAAGGGTAGCTGGAACGACTCCGAGACTGCCCCACTCCTTGCTTTAAACCGGTATTCGAATGGCCCTTCACCGTAATACCTTTGCATAGGAATCCACCAAGACGGTCCATCTGTGCATATGCTGAAGATTCCACGCTTTGAAGCCATGACGGTTTCGGAATACTCTGGCGAAAGCCATACGTTCAAACAAGACAGCCTGTGACGTGTAACTGCTGGATCTTTCATACATAGGGACATCAGCGTGCGGACCTGTCACGTGTAATCCGTACGTTGAAACAAACGAACCACCCCCAATATGCGCAACAGCTAGAACTTTCATACTTTAGGATCATCGATGTCCAAGTCTAATAATGATAACCACATGGTGAAAACCCGGTCCACCCTCAATCCGTGTAGTTGTTCGACACGTTAAACTTCACTACCCTAGGCCGTGATGAGCTCCTGACTGGTAGCCAGAAATTTACCAAATCCGCCGACACTGTCGGCGTGTGTGAAAGGCTTTTCCGTGTTCGTCGTCGTCGTCGTCGTCGTCTTCGTCGTGGTCGCCGTCGTCGTCGTCGTCGTCGTCGTCGTCGTCGTCGTCGTCGTCGTCGCGGCCGTCGTCGCCGCTCCCCGTTTCTCTGGGTCCTCCCCCCCAAGCGTGCCAGCCAGAGGGAAATCCAGCAACGTGGTAGTTGAGTCGAAGGGAAGCCCCTTCCCTTTGATCCCTCCCCCGCCCGGGGGGGAATTCTGGGGGGGGGTCCTGGGATGGGGTCCCAGAGGGGATCCTGGCGGGGGTCCTAGGGGGCGTCGCACCCCAGAATGCGTTCTCCCCGCGGGATCCCCACTGGGACCTCCCCCCCACCCCCCCACCCCCCCACTTGGGAGAACCCTTCCCTTCACCTCTCGGACGCCTCGAGCTTACTTGTACCGCCGCTTGCTCCAAGAGGGCCCTGAAACAGCCCAATATCGCTCCAAGACGGTCCAAGATACCCTCAAGACGGCCCAAGAAGCCCCCAGACGCTTCAAGAGGGTCCCAAGAGGCGAAGACAATAGATTTTCATTTAGTTGTTCTATGTTTTTCGTGTCCTCGCCTTTTCGATTTCCGACGCTCCAGAATGGCCCAGGCAGCCACCAACATCGCCCCAAGTCGGTCCTGGAGGCTGCCGAAAGCGCCCGAAAACCATCCAAGACGGCCCCAAGACGGCGTAAGACGGCCACAAGACCGCCCAAGAAACCCTCCAAACAGCCGAATAGGGCCCCAAGAGGGCTCCAAGAGGATCCTGAGAGGGGGGACACCAAACGTTCTGGGGACATAATTTTCGAGAGCGTCTCAGGCGAGATTCAAACTGGTAAGTTCGCTGGCCCAGCGGGCCGAAGGCGTGCTAGAATCGTCGGCAAGAGGCTCTCAGAATTTGACTACGACTGGTTCCTGCGTGCGTGCGGCCCGTGAAGGGTCCTGGGAACCAAACTACCCTGGTGGATCCCTGGTCGAGCCGGCCTGGGGATGCCGGAACTCCCGGGTGCGGCCTGTGAAGCCGTCAAGCGGCAACCACAATCACCAACGAGGCTGATAAGATGCGTCCCGAACGGCCACCTGAGCTGTCCATGCTCCACCATGCTTTCGAGAGGCCCGCAGACCGGTCGAAAGTGGCCACGGGGCATCAAAAACCAACGGTCCTCAATGATGTTGGCTTTCTTGCTGTCTCGTTTCCGATGGCTGTCTGAGGCTGCAAGAGGGTTCCCAACTCGCCCAACAAGTTCCGGGCGGCGCCCAGAAATGCCTCAAGAGGACTCCGACAATCCCTAAGGTCCCGTCAGGAGCGTCCCAAGAGGGCTTCAAGATGGACCCTAGAAGGCCCACGAGCGATGATCAATGAATGGATGGCAGGCCTGCACATGGCCCTAAGACAGCCCAGAGAAGCCCCAAGATATCTCCAAGGTGGCCCAAGATGGCCCAAGACAGTCCCCAAGAAGCCCGGATCCTTCAAACATCCATGGTTGTTCTATGATTTGGGCATCATCACTTCTTCCTTTTCGATGTCCTTATGAAGCTTCAAGATGGCTCCAATAGAGCCCAAGATAGCCCCGAGTGGAGCCCAGAAGGGCTCTCAGACGCCTCCAAAAACCCCAAATAGCACCCCAGGAGCGCCCCAAGAGGGCTCCCCAAGAGCGCCCAAGAACGGGGATCAATGGGTGGCAGGCTTTAAGATGGCGACAGCACAGTTCCAAGGGGCCCCAAGACAGCCCCAAGGATGCTCAACATGGTCCAACACCGTCCTCAGGAAGACCCCAAATGAACCCACGCCTTTCAACATCAAATGCTTGTTGCATGAATGTGGTGTTCTCGCCTTTCCCCTTCCGACCCGCTTATGAGGCCTCAAGATGAATCCGAGACGGCCCACGATATCTACAGCTGGAGCCCCGAAGAGCTCCAAAAGGGCTCCGAACACTCCCAAGCGCGACTCCAAGAGGGGGCAAGGAGAGGCCCAAGACATGAGGTCTCTACGTATGTGTTCCATGATGATTGACTTCTCGTGGTTTCGGGCCTTGGGGTGAAACTTGGGTGGGTACATACGTGTTCCGTTGAGTGCTGCCTTCAAGACGCCCAGCGACTGCTTCTGCCCCGCGCAAGAATCGCACGACTACATGGGGAATGCGCGAAGCTGATGAACAAGATATTCCCGTCTGCGTGCCTGCTGGAAACTTCAAGCGTCAAGATGAGACATGTGTGACGTTGTGCAAGGTGATACGTTCGAGCCGCCCTACCAGAACACCTGGTGGTGCCAGAAAGAGAAGTTGGAGGAGGAGGAGGAGGAGGAGGAGGAGGAGGAGGAAGAGTAGAAAGAGGAGGAGGAGGAAGGAGAAATGATGGTGCATCGTGAGCAGGCACGGAGCAGGAGGAGAAGGAGCAAAAGGAGGTTGCCCAACACTCCCCCCGAGCCAAATGGACGCGCCGACCGCCGCCACTACCCAGTTCCCGCGATCCTCTTCCACGTCGAAGGGGTCGTTGACGAACGTGTTTCCCAGGCGCTGGAAGCGGGGCTCGACGAACGGCAACATCGCTGCCATCCCCTCGCACTAAGCGTGACGCCTGTCCCACAGCCTCGGGCGTAAGTGCTTACTGCGCTTGGCTCTCGATAGGGGGCCTCAGGAGGAGGGTAGGGTGTGCTGGGTGGTGTGGTGGCTTGGCATCGCCGACGCCCCCGCCTCCTCTTTCTCCTCCCTCGCCTCCTCCCTCCTTTCCCCCTCTTCCTCCTCCTCCTCCTCCTCTCCTCCTCTTCGTCCTCCCTCCTCCTCCTCCTCCTCCTCCTCCTCCTCCTCCTCCTCCTCCTCGTCCCGTCCTCGTCCTCCTCCTCCTCCTCCTCCTCCTCCTCCTCGTCTCCTCCTCCTCCCTCCTCCCTCCTCCTCCTCCTCCTCCTCCTCCTCCTCCTCCTCCTCCTCCTCCTCCTCCTCCTCCTCCTCCTCCTCCTCCCCCCCCTCCCCCTCCTCCCCCTCCTCCTCCTCCTCCTCCTCCTCCTCCTCCTCCTCCTCCTCTCCTCCCTTCCCCCTCATCCCTTCTTCCTTCCTCCGTCCTCCTCCTCCTCTTCCTGCCTCCTCCGGGACCACAGAGGAAGTTTGACGAGCAGCAGCTCGCCGTCATTTGTCCTGACCAAAATGCTTCCTCCTCCCTCGCCTCCTCCCTCGCCTCCTCAACCTCCTCCTCCTGCTTATCCCTCCTCCTCCTCCTCCTCCTCCTCCTCCTCCTCCTGCCATCGGACAGGACGCTCCCCATGCCACCCAGATGGGCGCGGCACGAGCTGCACCCCCCAATCGGGTGCGCTACGGCCGTGCCCGATCAATTCCCCCTTAGCTCGGCCCCAATCATGATCTTTTTAGGGCTAAAGGGCTAAAGGGCTATAAGGCTATAGGGATGTAAGGCTATAGGGCTGTACGGCTATAAGGCTATAAAGCTCTAGGGCTCCAGGGCTATTAGGACTATAAGGCTCTAGGGCTACCGGGCACCCTGGCGTGCCGCCGAAATCGGCGCCCCCCCCACCTAACCATACGAATCCTCTAGGATCCCTACAGAGGCAAGCTCTGATTGGGAAAAAACTGCTGCAGGCCGTCAAGCCCAAAGAAGTGGTATCGCACAGAATGTGCAACCATCCTGGGACCTTCCACCCTTAAGGGAAGCGTGCAGTCTTACATCCTCCTCTTCATGCCTCCCCCTGCCCCTGGTTCCTCATCATCCTGTCTTGCCTCCTCCTCCTCCTCCTTCTTCTGCCTCCTCCTGCTCCTCTTGCCTCCACGGGCAAGTCTGGGGCCGTCATTCACCCCTACCCCACGGAGGAGCAGGACAAGGAGGAGGAGGAGGAGAAAGAAGAGGGAGTACGAGGGGGAATCAATTTAGCCAGGTCGAGCGAGTCAGATGTCCCCCCATTCCCACCCTCCCTCTGAGAACAGAAGAAGCAAGTGCGGCAGAACCTCATGCTGAGATTGGAACGCGTTCCCACCTAGCGAACCGAAGGCGCTCGCGCGTGATCCTGCTTCGGACGATGTGGAGGCGCAAGACTACGCGGGCCGCGCAGGGCCTGGAGCGGCAAAACATCCGATGAGCGCGGCGAAGACGAAGCATGCGCCGCGCCGACACAGCACCGGCACTTGCACGCGCAAATTGCTCGGCGCTTGGGCGAGGTCAACATTTTGCCCGCCCTCGCGCGGCCCCTCTGCCGTTGCCGCTGCCGCTTTTTCATCGCACTCAGCGAGCGAATCACGCGCCGCGCTCGCGCGGAGACGCCACGAGCGAAATGCGCACGGCGTAGCAGGCTGGCACGAGTGGCGAGCCGGCCCCCTGGGTCGACAATGTAGGAAGTGCTCTTTGTTGGAGCAGGAGGGCGAAAGCCAGGGCCTCGGATGCACTGGGGCCCTCTCCTTCCTCGCCGAAGTCGTCCATCGTCTCCAGGGGCACGTCCTCGTTGTCGTCCGTTCCTCCGAGCTCCATCCCAAGGCCACTGCCAGAACTCGGAGGGCCAAGAAACCCTCGTGCAGTTTCTGTGCGTTCTCCGTGGGTGCTGGGCCCAGAGGCGTGCCTGGAACCTCAATCGAGCTTGTGTGAGGCCCTCGCGGAATGGCATCGAGGTGCTCCAGAAATACCGCCGCGGAACGGGTCTCAGCAACCGAGCCAGGCAATTGATCGAGCAGTCTTCGGATGTCTTCGGCCCTCAGGGATCTTGCGATCGTTTCTGTGCCGAAGCTTGCCGTGCGCCGAAGCTTGCCGTGCGCACGTCAGTCCCGACTGCTGCAGCACCCTCTTCCGATTTTGTATACGAGCAGCGTCATTAGAAGAAGAAAAAACGCCAGAAAACATAAAATTTTGGCGCTCCTGAGGACTTCTTGGATCCACGCTGGACCCCCCTCCCCAGCGCGCGGAGCGCGTCAGGGGCGGCGCCGGAGGCGCCGCCAGGGGGGCCCCAGCGCGGAGCCAAGAAATCCCCGCGGAGCGCCAAAAATTTATGTTTCCGGTGTTTTTCTTCTTCTAATGACCCTGCTCGTATACAAAACCGGAAGAGGGTGTTGCTTCTTAAAGGCGCCGGTTTCACATCTGGATAGAAGGCCCGCGCCTTCTAAGAAGCAGGGGTGCCCCAGAGCGGAGCCAAGAAATCCGCGCGGAGCGCCAACAAATTATGTGTATGGCGTTTTTGTTATTCGAATCTGGGGCTCCGTGTTCCTTAGTCGTTTTGCAGTTTGCCTTGGGTTCTCCTTCGGTTTTCGATCGGAAATCGAGGTAACTTTTGGAAAGAAAGGGCCTCGTTCCATATTTTTCGTTCCTTGGGTCAACGCCCCAATTGTATACAAGCAGCGCCATGCTGCCCACACGGAGCGAGTCCACATCCGTGAGGAGCAGGCTCGAACCTGACGGATCTGCTCGGGGTGCGGTGGCCTGTCGCGGTGCCCCGGGCGGAATGACGCCCTCCGTCTGGGACCCGCAAGAGGCTCGTGGCCACTGCACCCACCCCTCCTCCTCCTCCTCCTCCTCCTCCTCCTCCTCCTCCTCCTCCTCTTCCCTCTCCTCCTCCTCCTCCACTCCTTTTCTTATAAATAACTCCTCCCTGTCGCACCTCGAGGCCGGTCGAAAAGGTGGGCCTGGCGTTTGGCAACAATTTCACGGATTCAGGGCGGGTGGTTTTGCAAATGTGGCTCTCGCCTTTGCTCCGCGCGCATTCGTCTTAAACAAATGCCAGATTTCCGCTGTGACTCTCGCCTTAGCGCCGTGCAGATTCGTTTTCAGATTGAGGGCGGGCTGCTCAAAATGTGGCTCTCGCTTTCGCGCCGCGCACACTCGTCTTTCAAATTTGCAAGAAGTTTGCGGATTGAGGGCGGTTCCTTTTCAAAATGTGGCTCTCGCTTGAACGCCGCACACATTCGTTGACCAACTTGTAAGAGTGTCACGGAGTCTCATGGTTGATGTACCAAAAATGTTGTTTTGGAGCGGTCCAGGATTCGCCGTGACTGAGTCCCAAGAACGGTGCTTCGGCACGGTTCAGGATCGCCACGCCGCAACAGTCAGGCTGATTCGTGGCGCGTGAGTCCCGAAAACAGTGTTTTGGCACTGTCCAAGATCTTCAATCGGTTGTCTCCCAACGGGGCACTTTCCTGTGGAGATGAATTCTTGAAGGGGCCGATGAAGGAGAGAGATTGGAGGGAGGGTTTATTCCAACATCGTTGATGAGTCTTGGGTTTACACTGCTCCTCCTCCTCCTCCTCCTCCTCCTCCTCCTCCTCCTCCTCCTCCTCCTCCTCCCCCTCCTCTCCCGCCCTCCCTCTCGACACAAGCCCTGGCGCTCTCCATCCATGAGGCCCTCTTCCTGGCTCTTGACGGCTCCTGCGCGAGGCTGGGCCGAAACAGCTGCGAGGCGCAGCGGGGCGGGTGGGAGGGGGCTGAAAGCCCAGCAGCGGGTGCTCCAGTAGCGGCAGGGCCAGGCCAGGGGGGGAGGTTCCCGGACCTTGGGAGAAGGAGGAGGGCGAGGAGGAGGAGAAGGAGAAGGAGGAGAAGGAGAAGGAGAAGGAGGAGGAGGAGGAGGAGGAGGAGGAGGAGGAGGAGGGAGGAGGGAGGACGAGGGACGGAGGGAGGGAGGGAGAAGGAGGAGGAGGTGGAGGAGGAGGAGGAGGAGGGATGAGGAAGAAGTTGGAGGAGGAAGCGGCGGGGTCGGAGGACCTGAGGAGGGGGATGCGAAAAAGAGAAGGGGAGGAAAAGTAAGGGGATGGGGGAGGAGGGGCGGAGGTGGAGGAGGAGGAGCGGGGGAAGGGAGGAGTAGGATGATAACCGGGAGGGGGAGGGGGAGGGAATCAGGACGACGGAGAGGGGCAGGAGGAGATGGAGGAGGATGAGGAGGCGGAGGAGCTGGAGCAGGGAAACAGGGGAAGGGGCTTGACTCGACTAGCCTCTGACTGCGGTCCAACATGTCGTGGCTCTGTGCAACAGCTTGCACAAACACATCACGTGGCCCTTGGGCACATGACAGCACACACACAACACTTGCCAACATGTCGTGCCTCTGGACCTGTTGGGGGAAGCTACCCCTCCATCGAGAATCGGGATGAGCGGGCGCACAAACCGTGCGCTCAGGCACTGCTGGCACCTCGAGTCCCACGCGCAGCAGACTTTAGAGCCAGCGAACACTCGCGCAAACCCCTTGCCTCCTCAGCACTCGGATGTGGAGCAGGACCGAGAAGCGAAGGCCACTTGCTGAGGCTCATGTCCTAACACTGCCCCAGCGCCACTTTTCTTGAGGGATGCAAGAGCGCCAATACCCTGGGTTACAAGTGCGTGGTCCGTAAACCTCCTGAGAGCTCCCAAAGGCCAGAGAGCCACCAGGACGCCGCGCGACACGCGCGATATGCAGGGTTTACCCTGTCAGCCCACAAGAGGTGCAGCGCAGGGCGCCCCGTAAACCATGGTAGGGGCGTTTTTTCGGCGGTGGACAAACCTCCCTTTAGTAAACCATCCTGCGACCCCCTCCGACCCCCTCTTCTCCGATTCCCCCCCGTTCTCCTCCCCATCGTCCTTGCTCCATTATCGCCCCCGTCTG